TCACCAGTGTCAGCAGTGATGGTCCACCACTCTGAAGCATCACCAGTGTCAGCAGTGATGGTCCACCACTCTGAAGCATCACAGTGTCAGCAGTGATGGTCCACCACTCTGAAGCATCACCAGTGTCAGCAGTGATGGTCCACCACTCTGAAGCATCACCAGTGTCAGCAGTGATGGTCCACCACTCTTTAAGCATCACCAGTGTCAGCAGTGATGGTCCACCACTCTGAAGCATCACCAGTGTCAGCAGTGATGGTCCACCACTATGAAGCATCACCAGTGTCAGCAGTGATGGTCCACCACTCTGAAGCATCACCAGTGTCAGCAGTGGTGGTCCACCACTCTGAAGCATTCACCAGTGTCAGCAGTGATGGTCCACCACTCTGAAGCATCACCAGTGTCAGCAGTGATGGTCCACCACTCTGAAGCATCACCAGTGTCAGCAGAGGTGGTCCACCACTCTGAAGCATCACTATTGTCAGCAGTGATGGTCCACCACTCTGAAGCATCACCAGTGTCAGCAGTGATGGTCCACCACTCTGAAGCATCACCAGTGTCAGCAGTGATGGTCCACCACTCTGAAGCATCACCAGTGTCAGCAGTGATGGTCCACCACTCTGAAGCATCACCAGTGTCAGCAGTGATGGTCCACCCCTCTGAAGCATCACCAGTGTCAGCAGTGATGGTCCACCACTCTGAAGCATCACCAGTGTCAGCAGTGATGGTCCACCACTCTGAAGCATCACCAGTGTCAGCAGTGATGGTCCACCACTCTGAGCATCACCAGTTTTCAGCAGTGATGGTCCACCACTCTGAGCATCACCAGTGTCAGCAGTGATGGTCCACCATCTGAAGCATCACCAGTGTCAGCAGTGATGGTCCACCACTCTGAAGCATCACCAGTGTCAGCAGTGATGGTCCACCACTCTGAAGCATCACCAGTGTCAGCAGTGATGGTCCACCACTCTGAAGCATCACCAGTGTCAGCAGTGATGGTCCACCATATGAAGCATCACCAGTGTCTGCAGTGATGGTCCACCACTCTGAAGCATCACCAGTGTCACAGTGGTGGTCCCCACTCTGAAGCATCACCAGTGTCAGCAGTGATGGTCCACCACTCTGAAGCATCACCAGTGTCAGCAGTGATGGTCCACCACTCTGAAGCATCACCAGTGTCAGCAGAGGTGGTCCACCACTCTGAAGCATCACTATTGTCAGCAGTGATGGTCCACCACTCTGAAGCATCACCAGTGTCAGCAGTGATGGTCCACCACTCTGAAGCATCACCAGTGTCAGCAGTGATGGTCCACCACTCTGAAGCATCACCAGTGTCAGCAGTGATGGTCCACCACTCTGAAGCATCACCAGTGTCAGCAGTGATGGTACCACCACTCTGAAGCATCATCAGTGTCGCAGTGATGGTCCACCACTCTGAAGCATCACCAGTGTCACAGTGATGGTCCACCACTATGAAGCATCACCAGTGTCAGCAGTGATGGTCCACCACTCTGAAGCATCACCAGTGTCAGCAGTGATGGTCCACCACTCTGAAGCATCACCAGTGTCAGCAGTGATGGTCCACCCCTCTGAAGCATCACAAGTGTCAGCAGTGATGGTCCCCCACTCTGAAGCATCACCAGTGTCAGCAGTGATGGTCCACCACTCTGAAGCATCATAAGTGTCAGCAGTGATGGTCCCCCACTCTGAAGCATCACCAGTGTCAGCAGTGATTGTCCACCACTCTGAAGCATCACCAGTGTCAGCAGTGATGGTCCACCACTCTGAAGCATCACTAGTGTCAGCAGTGATGGTCCACCACTCTGAAGCATCACAAGTGTCAGCAGTGATGGTCCACCCCTCTGAAGCATCACCAGTGTCAGCAGTGATGGTCCACCACTCTGAATCATCACTAGTGTCAGCAGTGATGGTCCACCACTCTGAAGCATCACCAGTGTCAGCAGTGATGGTCCACCACTCTGAAGCATCACCAGTGTCAGCTGTGATGGTCCACCACTCTGAAGCATCACTATTGTCAGCAGTGATGGTCCACCACTCTGAAGCATCACCAGTGTCAGCAGTGATGGTCCACCCCTCTGAAGCATCACCAGTGTCAGCAGTGATGGTCCACCACTCTGAAGCATCACCAGTGTCAGCAGTGATGGTCCACCACTCTGAAGCATCACCAGTGTCAGCAGTGATGGTCCACCACTCTGAAGCATCACCAGTGTCAGCAGTGATGGTCCACTACTCTGAAGCTCACCAGTGTCAGCATGATGGTCCACCACTCTGAATCATCACTAGTGTCAGCAGTGATGGTCCACTACTCTGAAGCATCACCAGTGTCAGCAGTGATGGTCCACCACTCTGAAGCATCACCAGTGTCAGCAGTGATGGTCCACCACTCTGAAGCTCACTTGTGAGCGGAAGGTAGGAAGTAAAAAAGTATTTTTACACTACCAACTTGCTCTTTAGACTTATTGCTGTGAATTATTGGTACTGGAGAGAGAGAGCGAGAGAGCGAGAGCGAGAGAGGAAGAGAGAGAGAAAAGATGAGTAACAGGAGAGAAGAGGAGAGAGAGAGAGATTAATGAAATTTGTCAGACTCAGCAGTAATATTTTTTTCATGTTTATGTCCACCTTGTCACATTTCCTTCACATTACGGTCAGCTGTTCGTTGAATTCTTCGTTTATTCACTGATACCTGAATAAATCTTTTGTTTACAAAATCGATGCTTATGAATTCCTTGTCTCTCCCCTCAGACGTATCTCTTCGCCTATCTCCCTAGGCCTTTCCCCTCGTATGATTCATACATTCGCACAAAGGTCTCCCTCCTGTCCCTGCTTTCTCTCTCTCTCTCTCTCTCTCTCTCTCTCTCTTACTCTCTCCTCTCTCTCTCTCTCTCTTTCTCTCTCTCTCTCTACTTTGTTTCATATTTCGCTACATCGTTTCCCCTCAAACCCTTGCGTTCTCTTATCTCTGTTCCTCGTCCTCAGGTGTCTCCCCCTCACTTTCCTGTATAATCAATCACTCGCCTCTCTTCCCCTCACTCCCGACGGCTCCCTCTTTACCTTGTCGCTCAGGGGAAACTCTAAACTCACTTTCCTCATTCAGGCTCCTTTATTTGTCTTTCTCCATTTCCTCTTCTTCTTCCTCCCCTCTCTTCTTCCGCTTCCTCTACAGCTTTTATACGACTGCTAACGTGATCACTATTTCAACAATCACATCATCAACAATTACATCATTAACAATCACAATATTATCATTCACATCAACCACAATATCAATAACCACATCAACACTTGCAACATTAACGGTGACAACGTCAACAGTTACATCAATAACCACAATATCAATCACAGCATCAACAATCATAGCATCAACAATCACAGCATCAACAATCACAGCATCAACAATCACAGCATCAACAATCACAGCATCAACAATCACAGCATCAACAATCACAGCATCAACAATCACAGCATCAACAATCACAGCATCAACAATCAAATAAAAAACAAAATATCAGCAATCACATCAATTGCGGCATCAACAATTATAATATTTCGCCCAAGTTTTGTCTTCACTAAGATGATGACATCGTCAAAGAGAATCTTACGCTCTCTCTCTCTCTCTCTCTCTCTCTCTCTCTCTCCTCTCTCTCTCTCTCTCTCTCTCTCTCTCTCTCTCTCTCTCTCTCTCTCTCTTTCTTTACTCGTATATTTCCTATATATTGTCTCTGCCTGTAAAGGAAAGACATTTTTTTTCTTCATGCCAACAATATTTTATTTCTCCATTTTTCTGTTCACTAACACTTTATTTCCTTCTCTCACTGCCTCCCTTTTCATTCACGAAACCCTAATAACACAAGTGCAAACACACCACGGTACGGGTGAGTTTTGAATCCATGGCCATCCGTTTGATGCCATGATTTCAAACCCCACCAGTTCCGTGGTTTCCCTTTTTCACTATTATTCCTCTTTTTCTCTCTCTTCTCGTTTCGTTTATCCACATCTTCAGGATAATCTTTCAAACGAAGACACATTAAAGGCACTCAACTGACACTCTAAGGAGCGTATAAATAAAAAAATGTGCCAGAAATATCTATCCCAGACAGATCACTTAACAATGGGCAGAAATTCCAGTCGTCTCTCTTCCCATCTTTTGTGTACAGCGGAACTTTTCATAAATGCGACTGAAAAAGAGTCTGGAAAATTCCACGGTACGTAGTATGACAGCCGTTCACTGCGCTGTTCAATTTTCGATGCATCTGTTCAGTGGCATTTACGAAAATTGCGCTACGTAGAGAAATTCCATAAAAGAGTTGACGGGATATAGCGAAACGCTTGATATAGTGCAGATACTTGGACCGAACCTCCCCAGTGAAGCGAATTCTTTGAGTACCTTTTAAAAATAAATGAAATAAATGCGAGCGTTAAAATGGTGGATTGTAAATATGAACCTGCTTAACATGGGCCGATAGGCTTACTCTCTGTCTCCCAGTTACGGGTGTCTATCGATTTAGCAACAAATTCCATATTCATGTTTTGTGTCTGTTATGCCTCGCTCCTCTCTAGTCCTCATCCCACCGTCTATGTTGAAGTCTCCCAGCTCAGACTGACAGAGTTCATTACTAAATGTACAAAACCAGTCCTGTGTAACGGAGTACGATAAGGAAACCTAACCAGCTCATACTCCCGCTGCTGCTACCCTATATAGAGTAGCAGCACACTGCTGATGCATCCTTTGTTCATTCAACTATTGTCTCAGTGACAGCATTGACTTTTTAAGGTCCGTAGAGAATTTCTACTGTGTCTGCAAACGTTGCTGTTAATAAAAGCGTCCACTGGATCTAAGAGTCGTGTATTTCCCCTTCCATCTTGCCCGTGCCTGCCCCCTTCCCTTTAACCCTTGACTGCTTCTTTCCTCCCCCTCCTCCCTGGCTTTCCCTTACCCCTTGCCCTTATCTTTCCCTCACTAAGCACGCCCACGTCTCCCGCAGGTCTGCCCGCTGAGTTGTACTATGTGCGGGAGGGTGTGATCAACAAGTACGCCCTGGAGTTTATCGTGCCTGTCCCTGCCAACTTCACCTACATCTACTTCACCTGGAGAAGTCTCATCAAGCGCCCGGTAGGTGGCTTGGCGGTGAGTGTGTCATTACCTGTGTTTGCCCTTTAGGGTTGAGCTCCAGCTCCTGCCTCCGCTGCAGATGCATTTGATATTTTTTTCATCAAAAACATTGATGGTTACAAATTATTATTATTATTATTATTATTATTATTATTATTATTATTATTATTATTATTATTATTATTATTATTATTACATTTATTACGATTATCATTATTATTAGTAGTAGTAGCACTAGTAGTAATAGTAGTAGTAGTTGTAGTAATAGTAGTAGTAGTAGCGGTAGTAGTAGTAGCAGTAATAGCAGTAGTAGCATGCAGTGCCTGCAAAATGGAAGTCAATCAGGTTTGAAAATTAAAGATAGGAAGGTGGGAGTTACTTAATGTTCCTCGAATCAAGAGCCCTTCATCATCAAAGTACCTCTTTAGTCCTAGCTTTTTTCTTCGTCGCGGCTTGACGCCAAGGAATGCAGTGCTTCGTGAAGCACTAAACCCATATGGGTCGTTCCTTGCAAAGAGTGCCGCTTGTTCCACTTTTGTCTTATAAGCGGAAAAAAAAACAGCAAGCAGAGGTAAAAAAAAAAATAGCCGGTTGACACACAAAGTTAGTTGATGCAAAAGCATAGTCAGGTGACGCAAAAATAGCCAGGTCGCACAAAATAATTGCCGGTTGACGCAAAAAAAAAGCGACAAACTGACGTAAAAATAGCCATTCGAAGCAAAAAAATGAACAATCGACGCAAAAATATTACAGTTGGCACAAAAAATAACCAATCGACGAAAAAAAAGTCTCCAGTTGACGCAAAAAATGGCCATCTGATGCAACAAAGAACTGGTTGACGCCGAAAGAATAGCCAACTGAAGCAAAAAATTGCAAATTGACGTAAAAAACATCCACTTAACAGAAAAAATAAACGAAAATAATACTGTCTACTGAATATCAATATAAGTCTGTAGAATATACCTGTCTTCTACATGTTGAAATTGTTCATGGCGTAGAACCAAGACCTGCCAGAGTGCGTAATGTTTAACAGGCTTCAGTTTCACCTAAGACTGACCATTGCTGAGAAATGGCGTTGATACAGGAATCCCATCAAGATAGGACAAAAAATGAATTTGCAAAGGATTATGTTATTCCTATTATTGTTTATTCTTTACATTCACTCATAATTACGATTACTCGTAAATGAGAGTATTTATCTACCCGTTCCACTACCAGCCTACCACCACCTACCACCATCAACACCCCAAGAACCACCAACTACACTACCATAATCGTCGCACCACCAACCATGACCTCCACTATGACAGTCCTGGTCCTCCTAACCACCACCACCACCTTCACTACCACAATCCTCGCCCCACCAACCACCACCACCTGCACCACCACAATCCCGGCCCTGGCTCCAGTCCCTCACTGCGATTACAAATTAACCATGACATCCGAACAGCTGAAATTTGTTCCGTCCCAAAAATTCAATAATCTTCCGAAAGGCAACGCGAATTTGCATTTAATTCTCGAGATGCAAGACGTAGCGGGATGCCCTCACGATAATCAGCAAGTGAAGGAAGACATGTAGAAGGAAGAGCTGTAGAAGGAAGAGCTGTAGAAGGAAGAGCTGTAGAAGGAAGACTTGTAGAAGGAAGAGGTGCAGAAGGAAGAGGTGTAGAAGGAAGACTTGTAGAAGGAAGAGGTGCAGAAGGAAGAGGTGTAGAAGGAAGAGCTGTAGAAGGAAGAGCTGTAGAAGGAAGACTTGTAGAAGGAAGAGGTGCAGAAGGAAGAGGTGTAGAAGGAAAAGGTATAGAAGAAGAGGTGCAGAAGAAAGAGGTATAGAAGGAAAAGGTATAGAAGAAGAGGTGTAAAAGAAAGAGGTGTAGAAGGAAAAGGTATAGAAGAGGAGGTGTAAAAGAAAGAGGCGTAGAAGGAAAAGGTATAGAAGAAGAGGTGTAGAAGGAAAAGGTATAGAAGAAGAGGTGTAAAAGAAAGAGGTGTAGAAGGAAAAGGTATAGAAGAAGAGGTGTAGAAGGAAGAGATGTAGAAGGAAGAGATGTAGAAGGAAAAGTTATAGAAGAAGAGTGTGTAGAAGGGAAATGTGTAGAAGGAAAAGGTATAGAAGAAGAGGTGTAGAAAGAAACGGTATAGGAGAAGTGTAGAAGGAAAAGATGTAACAGATGTAAAAGGTGAATAAGGAAGAAAAAAGATGTGGGAGGGAGAGGTATAGGAGGAAATGAAAGCAGGAAACCCAATTTGCTCAGTGGATTTTTTAACTTTGAATTTGGTATTGCATAAAACTGGAAGCCAACGGTGATGAGAGTATTGTAGATAATATTGTGAGTGGCAGCACACGTCTGCTGGCCTGCCTGAGGCAATAAATATATGTACGTATGTATGTATGCATGTATATATCCATGTACGTATGTATATATATATATATATAATATATATATATATATTTATATATATATATATATTATATATATATATATATATATATATATATATATAATGGTTATAGGAGCTAAACTATTATTATAATGAAGATCTATCATAAATAGTTAATGTAAATATACATATGTATGATGTATTTGCTGCGTATCTCTGTAAAGTGAATATTAATCTAGTTGTTTAAACTCGGAAGGTCAGCTTTCAGATTGGTTGTACTTGTCTGTTCGTGGTTGCGAGGGTCGAGGCCGTGCCCCAGACCTCTCTTCTAACTGGCCCAGACCAGCTTCACTAGCTCCTTAATTTCGGAAACCCTAATCATTACTTATTCTTAAAGCTTTGTATTAATAATTCTTGTTATTTTTCTCCGTATATTATTTAGAGCATTTGTATCAGTACTGTTGTAGGGAAACCAAAACTGTGTGGCTACGTAATACAAACGAGGCTTTACTTATGTCTCTGTGTGTGTACTTACCTATTTGTGGTTCCAGGGGTTGATTCACAGCTCCTGGCCCCGTCTCTTCGCTGGTCGTTACTAGGTCCACTCTGATGAGCTTTATCGAACCTCTTTTCAAAGCTATGTATGGATCCTGCCTCCACTACATCACTCTCCAGATTCTGTGTGTGTGTGTGTGTGTGTGTGTGTGTGTGTGTGTGTGTGTGTGTGTGTGTGTGTGTGTGTGTGTGTGTGTGTGTGCGTGTGTGAGTGAGAGAGAGAGAGAGAGAGAGAGTCTGAAGTTTATCTATCGTTTTCTAGACCTGACTAGGAAATGTTTAGTGACTAAATGTCTAGTTAATATTCCAAATTGTTTTGTGAATATTCCATAACTGTCTTGCAAATATTCCCTAATTGTCTTGAGAATATTCCATAACTGTCTAATAAATATTTTATAACTGTCTAATGAATATTTTATAACTGTCTAATGAATATTCAGTATATGACTGTTTTGTGAACATTGCGTACCTGACCGTCTAGTGAATTTTCTATACATGATTCTAAATTAAATATTTCACTCGTGACTTGCCTAGTAAATATTCATCCGTCTGGTAAATATTTAATTTGTTTGGTAAATATTCCAAATGTCTACTAAGCATTTCATCTGTCCAGTAAATACCCCTTCCCTCTAGCAAATATATCTTCTGTCTAGCAAATATCCCTTCCCTCTAGCAAATATACCTTCTGTCTAGCAAATATCCCTTCCCTCTAGCAAATATCCCTTCTGTCTAGTAAATATCCCTTCACTCTAGCAAATATACCTTCTGTCTAGTAAATATCCCTTCCCTCTAGCAAATATCCCTTCTGTCTAGCAAATATCCCTTCCCTCTAGCAAATATACTTTCTGTCTAGCAAATACCCCTTCCCTCTAGCAAATATACCTTCTGTCTAGCAAATATCCCTTCCCTCTAGCAAATATACCTTCTGTCTAGCAAATATCCCTTCCCTCTAGCAAATATCCCTTCTGTCTAGTAAATATCCCTTCACTCTAGCAAATATACCTTCTGTCTAGCAAATATCCCTTCCCTCTAGCAAATATACCTTCTGTCTAGCAAATATCCCTTCCCTCTAGCAAATATTCCTTCTGTCTGGTAAATATCTCTTCTGTCTAGTAAATATCCCTTCCCTCTAGCAAATATACCTTCTGTCTAGCAAATATCCCTTCCCTCTAGCAAATATCCCTTCTGTCTAGTAAATATCCCTTCACTCTAGCAAATATACCTTCTGTCTAGTAAATATCCCTTCCCTCTAGCAAATATTCCTTCTGTCTGGTAAATATCTCTTCTGTCTAGTAAATATACCTTCCCTCTAGCAAATATACCTTCTGTCTAGTAAATATCCCTTCCCTCTAGTAAATATTCCCTGTGTCTAGTAAATATCCCTTCCCTCTAGCAAATATACCTTCTCTCTAGTAAATATCCCTTCCCTCTAGCAAATATCCCTTCTGTCTAGTAAATATCCCTTCCCTCTAGCAAATATCCCTTCTGTCTAGTAAACATCCCTTCCCTCTAGCAAATGTATCTTATGTCTAGTAAATATCCTTTCCCTCTAGTAAATATCCCTTCCGTCTAGTAAATATCCCTTCCGTCTAGTAAATATCCCTTCCGTCTAGTAAATATCCCTTCCGTCTAGTAAATATTCTCTCTGTCTAGTAAATATTTCACTTGATTTTATTAAATAAATAATAAACAATACATAAACAGCCCTGAGGGTAATGTGAACTGCGATGCCGAGTCGCTTCTGACAAGACAGTAATAGAATGAATGATGGTGGAAATATTTTAAGTTTCTCGACCACAGCCTCTCCCAAGCCGTTCCACTTTTCAACCACCCCGAAACTAAAGAAATATTTCCTCATATGGCTATGGCTCATCTGTATCTTCAGTTTTCACTGGTGTGCTGTTGATCCTCAGTCACCATACCTGGGTGGGTTTAGGTTAGGTTAGGTAAGATTAGGTTAAGTTAGGTTGGGTTGGGTTAGGTTAGGTCGGGTTAGGTCAGGTTAGGTTAGGTTAGGTTAGGTAAAGTTCAGTTAGGTTGTATTAGGTTAGGCTGGATTATGTTAGGTTAGGTTAGGT